GAATTTTCATTAGGCATAGAAAAGTAGATCTGTGATAAAGGCATAGTTTGAAAACTCTCATAAGGGTTATTTTTTTCAAAAGGATCTTGTGCAAATCAGTATCAAAGAAACATATTGACGAGACCGGGACAGATTAGGTGCTGGTACAGCTATGAATAAGCTTTACTGGTAACTCAGACTTGGTTGTTGGTTAATCATTTTTGCATTTCTGGCAGAAACCTCTTTGGCATCTGATAGAACTTCAGACCTCAACCCTCTTTAACAAGGATGTTCACTTTTACTTGATTCTTTTGTTTTGTTTCTATCCCTGATCTTCATTACTCTACTGCGATCCACTGGAAATTGTTAGTGTTTGCTTCTGTTACTTATAGTATTTCATTTAAATTTCACTTAAATTCAGATTTCACTTAAATTTACTTAAAAATATATAGAAAATTGCATAGACCATATGTGTATTATTAATAAATAATTACAAGTCAAGTACCCCTGTAACTACTACCCAGGCCAAGAGGTGAAATACCGTGAGAATTCCATCTCCCTGTACTCAGTCCCTGCCTGCAGCCCTAGCGGTAGCCACTTTGACTTTTATTATAGTAATTTCCTTGCTTTACCTATGTATGTATCTCTAAACAAAATAGTTTAACTTGTTTTTGAAATTCATATAAATTAAATCATTCCACAGATATCATTTTGTGTCTTGCTTCTTTCCTTAAATAACATGTCAGAATTATCCAAAGTTGCATGAAGCTACCATTCATTTTCATTCCATATAGTATTCTTTTGTATTAATATACCCCAATTCTTTTTTCATTTTATTTTTTTTTTTTCTTGATAGACCTTTTAGGTTGTTTCCTAAAGTTTGCAGCTATTAACAAATGACTTATTCTTGCTCCTTTATTCTGCTGTTTGTTATTTTAAGTCTGATAAATAAGAGTATCTTCTATCAGTATAGCTCTTTAAAATATATATAGTTATCATTCAATTTAGTTTTACTTTCAGACCTGTGGCATTAGCAGTGCAGCTTTGCATTTTATAACTGGTGATAGAGCTTGTCACATGCCCAAGCTGACATTTCAAAAAATTAGAGAAGTACTAACAACTGCCAGAGATCTTTTATTTCAAAGTATAAAGTCTCAACTTTAGATTTTGTTTCACACAAACTGAGCATGCTTAATACCTCAACTGGGTTTAAAAATATTTCAGATTTTAAAAAAATAATAATTTGGCTAAAGATAATGCCTCATTGTCTTGTTTTTCAACTTAAGGCTTTATTATTGTTTCTTTGGAAGTTGGCCTAAATAGCAATTTTATTAAACTGGAAGTAGGATGTTAGAACCTAAATTCCTTAAATTGTCGGCAACAAATCTATTCACAGAGGTATAACGATAATATGTTCAGCATTTGATTTAGGTGCAAGTAAAGAGGAGGGGAAGCTGATGGTGATAAATATTTTTGACCAGAGATACTATGCCTACACTTTTGTACTCATGCCATTCTTTTTAAAAAAGTCAAGAGAGTGACTTTTCAAGGAAGCTCTGCCAGTTACTAAGTGGCCTGATAACTCACTTCAAGCGTTTCCAAAATCTTATGTCTAAAATCTATTAGTTTGTGAAATGCTCTCTGGTGCTGTAGACCAGTTTGACCCTTTATTTATGTGTGGAATGTGCTGAGTTATGTTTAAAGACAAATTCAGATGTTGGTGTTGCAAAGCGACACTCCTTTTGTTATTTTAAGATTTAAAAAAGTATGAAGTTTTCAAAATGGACACGTTTTAAGCAACTTTAAGTTCAAGAAATGAAAGTAACTGTTAGTGTGTCATTAGTGGTAGTGTTGACATTTTTTGTGATGAATTCAATACTTTTCTAAAGGTGTTTATATATAAATGTGTTTTAAGTATATGCAGTTTTGAAAAAGAAATTCTAAAAAGGAAGTTTGTTTAGAGAAGCAAGAAGTTGGAAAATGTATTGTATGACATTCCAGGGCATGTTTACAACATTTTAAGATTTATATTAACAAATAAAAACCCGTGGAGTTGCATACATCCCCTTGGTTTGAATATACATTTCAACAGATCTATTATCTAGGTGGAAATATGTAAGTAAAGCTGTATATTCTTTGTCTCATCTACAAAAACAGAAGCAAAATTATTGTACTTTAAACAGTCATTCTTCCACTACACATTAAAAAAGGAAATATTGTGAATGTCATTTTCATAGTAGTGGGAGTAGGAAAATATATGTTTTAAAATTCTCAAAATAAGGAATAGCTTTACTCTGAGAAGGAAAATTGAATTTAGGAAAATGTGGGATGATAAAGTATTGTGGATTATAAATTCGGAAGCCATCTGTTAATTTTAAGTGTTAAACAGAAGCACTATATATTTAAAAGAGAAAAATCAGTGCCTCCCCATGTAAAAGAAATATTTGAAAGTGGTTTCTGGGAAAGATAATTTATAAATAGGAAATCACCTAGCTTTATATGTAAACGAGAAAATATGATGGAATAATCAAACAATACATGTTAAGACATCCGATTTCAAAATCCAGTGGATTTGAAAACATCAGAGTAGCTCCATATCTGTCTGTGGTCCAGCAGCAATGATGAGCATAAAGAATTTTTAGTTTCAGACAAAAGCATATTTGTTCTCAGTATTGGTTAAAAGAGATTTCATTTCACAATGACTTCTTAATACCAAGGTCGTTCAGGGTGGAATTAAACTTGTTAAATAGCAACACTGAAATAACGTTCATTATATTGTAAATCTAGCCCTTTGTGCTTATGTTCTTGCTAAGAAGGAAATAAGTGACACATACTGTTCTTTTGAGCTTATAAACTTTCACAGTATTTACCCAGTTTTCAGTGTACAAAGCCAACATCAGGACTGCCGCTTCCTTGTTCCGGAATTTGGGTGAGATAGTGGAATGTTCGTCCTGCTTGTAAATAAGCAACTCAGGTTCCAGACTTTGATTGTGTAAATTTTCATCCTTCTGATCTTCATCTTTGAACATACACACGCTTAAAACATTTTCCTGTAGTTTGTTAGAGGACTTACCCTCTGGACTTCATAGAACCAGGGTCCCAGATTCATGCTTTATTACTACCCGCAATTGTGACATTGAGCCTGTATGCATTTATCTTCACTGAGGATCTTCATTTATACAAACTTACCCTGTCTTACCATGTTTCAAGTCATGGCTTTGGGGAACGCAAAAGGGAGGAATTTTATTTCACTTAATACTTAGGATTCTCTGATCTTGTATGTTAGCTGTTACTGATTTATAATTGGCATAGCTCATGAATGAATGAATGAGGTCTTCCAAAATTTTATAAATGTGATTTATATTTTATCACTTGGAGCAAAAATGTTAACATCTCTTTGAACAAATACTACATCTCTGGTCTTTGATCTTTTCAAGGATGGTTTTTTTTCCTTCACTCTACTTAACACTCTGTCTTTTAAAATTTCACATCCAGTCTTCTTGCAAACATTTTCTGCACGTGGTGACTGCTTCCCTCCGGTAACTCTCTTCTCCACCCACTCTCATCTGGTTTCTACCCATACTACAGTAAAACTGCCATTGCAGGGCCACCAGGTGCCCACAGCATGTGCTAATGGACAGTTCTCAGTCTTTGCTGTGTCAGTGGCAGTTAGTACTGTTACCCACTTCTTTCTTGGAACAGACTTCAGTGACACTACATTACACCCAAACCTCCTTTGTAGACTTATCTTTCTCTACCCATCTTTTAAATGCTGCTATTCCTGAAGAGTTCTTTTTGCTTCTTATGACACTGCTTTCCCTAGAATTTGGCATCATTGCTTTAGTTATAATCTGCTGATGGTTCCAAGACTTCTTGGCTTCGGAGGTGTGTATCCAGCTGTCTATTGGACATCTTCATTTGATGGTTGTGGTAGGCTGCAAGTGATACAAACCCACTTCAGTGTAGCTTTAGGCTAGAGAGGGGAGACTGTTGCCTCACAAAACCAAACGTCATGTGCACAGGTCAAACTGGTCTGAGGGGTGGCTGGAACCAGACTTCCTCCTCTCTCTCATCTCTGCTTGTCAGCATTGTAATCTCAGAACCATCTTCTGTGTGAAGTTTGGAATGCGGTTGGCTAAGGTCAGCTGTCAAGTCTACAGCTTGTCTATCTGTCTAACTCCAGGTAGAAATTGCCTGACATGGGTTCTGATGGACTCAGCTTGGTTGCCCACATCAGGTATAAAGTACTTTGACTGATACTCATTCTGGTGATGGTGCGGGCAGGGATCTAATGTCTCGATTCAACCCCCATTCATCTTTCATGCATGATTCCAATGTCAGTGGAGAAGGTGATAATTTCGTTTCTAATTATTGATGAGTTATAGCTGCCTGATTATTTAAAAAGAGTTGAATGCTGTGCCAGTTACTGTCTGGGTTGTCTGTGAGAACTGGACTCCATTGAAGAGACCTATATGAAAATGATTGGTATTTTTTTTTTTTGAAATAAGAGACTTGTACTGTAATCATGGTGTTCTGATTTGTGATTTCAAAAAATGTATTAGAATAATTTATACTTTTATGATCATAAAGTAGAATGCTCTGTGAAGGGAAGGATTTCTGTTTTTCACTGCTATATTCTTAAATACCTGATAGAAAGTACCTAAAATTTGTTGAATGAATATCAGTTTATTAAAATCTTGATTTTTTTTCAATGTTTACTTTTTGGGGAAATATTCTTAATGTTATCACAGATTTAAGAAATAAAAACTCTTAAGGGTAAGTAAAGTAACTTTTCTTTTCCTTTTTCTTCTAGACTGTCATAGGCCCTGAGTCAAGACAACAATTTTTATACCTTCCTGGTGGTTCAGAAACGAGTCTGTAGAATCACAAGCAAAGAAACAGTCTGACTTTTTCTACATTAAATTGACTATATAAGATACTTCCAGGAACAAAACTGCAGAAAAGTAATACAATTATTATTTTGACATCATTGGACATCCATCATATTGAGGGGTGTGCTTTGTGAAGCTTCCCAAGTGGAGATTTGGAAACTTGCTTGGTGCTCATTTGTACTTTGGACTGTAAGCATGAGCGAATTCTGGTTGTGCTTCAACTGCTGTATTGCTGAGCAGCCTCGGTCTGTAAGTATGGAGTGATATACGTAGGGATTGGGCGGGTGCTTGTGGAATGTGCCACTGGTTCTCAAGCTGACGGCATTC